CCAGCGGTTCCTTCCACAGATGTAGTCGATCTGATTCCTATGTATACCATCAGGTGAAGTCCATGTGTATAACCTGCATTTGTGTCTCTTATAAAATGTATTTGCAATGAATAAGTCATTGATTTTACAAAATTCAATCATTCTATCTCCAGCCTCATTCCTGTCACCAAGCCCATGCCTTCCGACAACTGATTCTTCTTCTCTGTTCCCAACTTTTGCATTCCAGTCACCCATTATTATCAATGCACCTTGATTGCATGTTCGATCTACCTCCGACTGTAAAAGTTGGTAGAAATCATCTATTTCTTCTTCTTTGGCTCTGGTTGTTGGTGCATATATCTGAATGATAGTGGTATTTACTGGACTTCCTTGTAAGCGCATGGATATGATCCTGTCACTCATGATGTTGTACTTCAAGATGGCTCTAGAAATAACTTTTTTTACTATAAAGGCAACCCCGTTTTTCCTTGTCTTTTCATCTCCAGAGTAATATATCATATGGTCATCAGACTCAAAATGCCCCATGCCAGTCCATCTCATCTCTCCAACACCTAATATGTCAATATTTATGCATTCCATTTCTTTCTTAACAATTTCTAATTTTTCTTCATTCATGGCTCTCACATTCCATGTACCAAGCACTAGGGTCTGCTTACAGCTGTTCCTCCTCCCTTGTGTTTCCATACTTGATGGTTCTACCTAGGTTGCCCTTTTTGTTAATCTGCGTGTGTTCTGTTGTGCATAGGGCTTTCAGAGGCCTGCTATTTCAGAAGTGGGTGGCCAATCCTTCTTCCTAGTCTGTCTTAATCTGAATGTTCAGATTTAGAGGAGTATCTGACAGACAGCAATTTGTGGAGCAGTTAAAGATAAATCCCTTATTGTCAACACTCTTGGTACCAGCAGTCAGGAAATCAAAAAGCGTATCGCGATGGGAAAGTCTGCTGTTAGGGACCTCTCAAAGGTACTCAGGAGCAACAATGTCTCTCTGGAGACTAGGGTGCGCCTGATACAGGTCATGGTATTTGCAATCGCTTGTTATGCATCAGAGAGTTGGACAATGACTAGGGAGGACAGAAGGGGAGTGGATGCTTTTGAGCTGTGGTGCTGGAGAAGGGTACTGAATGTACCATGGACTGCCAAGAAAACAAACAGATTCATCTTGGAGAGGATTAAACCAAGCTGCTCCTTGGAGGCAAGGATTCTGGAGCTTCGTCTGACATACTTTGGACATGTTGCCAGGAGGGACGGGTCGTTGGAGAGGGACATCATGCTTGGGAGGGAGGAGGGACAGCGCAGGAGGGGAACACCCTCTATGAGATGGATCGATTCGGTGACTGGGGTAATCGGGATGGGTGTGTCAGAGGCGGTGCGGTTGGTGCAGGATAGAGCAGGGTTTAGAGCTGTTGTGCATAGGGTTGCTATGAGTCGGAAAAGACTCGATGGCACATAACAACAACAACAATGGTACTTAGGATTTAAAAAGGAGAGATTACTGGCAATGAATTAGTCTTTGATTTTTAAAATTCTATCATAACATAACCAGGGATACTTTTATTAGTAAGGCCATATTTTCCAACATCAAGCCCTGTTTTCTTAACTTTTATATCCCAGTCATAATATCAATGCGTCTCAGTTATTTGTTTGGTAGATTTTAAACCATAAAAGAGAGTAAAAAAATCATGTTGGTTCCCCACCCCCTTTGGCATTAGGGAATAACTTTACATAATAATGGTATTATCTGGCCTTCCTTGGAGATACATGGATATTTAAAATTTCATTCACTATTGCTGAAACTATCTTATTTCAGATTAAATCTCAGAATGTTCTTTCTGATCATGACCATAATATCATTTCTCTTCAATTTTTCACTCTCTTCATAATGTCTTTTATAATTATCTGATTTAGAATAGCTAGTACAACTTCATTTCAGTTCAGTAGCACCTATACTATTTATACATTATGTGGACAGTAGTCGTTACCAGATAACATATTTTATATGTAATAGTAGAAGAGGTTAAAAATATGTGACATTCAATAAACTTGTGAATTTTATTACTAAAAATAAGTTAAAAAGTCAAAGAATTTACAATATTTTTAAAAAGTTTTTGAAAAAAATTAAATGCAGAAACTTATCCAGTAAATAAACTTATAATCGTCCCTTTAGAGATCTCAATAAATTTTAATATATACAAAAGTAAAAGTGTTATTTCACCCCTTCTATATATATGAAGCATGTATAACAAATTATCATAGTTACTGAGAATGAAGCACTAAACAAAACAAATATAGGTCTTTTCGCTTGCATTTTATAATCTATGAGTAGATTACAAACTGGAGAAAAATAAACAAATTAATTTCTTTGTGTTAGAGTAAAACAACCATGCATGCTTCCCAGCAATGATAACTATTGAATACTGAGCTGAATCTTAAATCATATGGCCTATAGAAAATTCCAAGAAACCACCATGCCAGTTAATTCTTGAGTTTTATTCATCTTGCAAGCAAAGCTCCTCTATTATGCATATGTAACTAACATCTTAAAAGCAAGGCAGGCCCTAAAAATGGTTTGTGTTCTGTTCCATTTACACTTCTACAGCCTATGAACCTGGACTAGATGGCCTCATCTGATTTTCTATCCCCTTTTGTAACACTAATTGTACATTGACCTTTTCTGTGTTATACAAATAGCCTAGTTTCAGATAAGATGAAGACATGAGGCTATCACTCATGACAAAGGGTCTTTGATCCAAGAAGCAGAAAACCACATAAATGGACACCCCATTTTCCTTTGTCACCTTAATGTAAATGGAACTTCAGTAGTGTAACTTTATAGAAATCTTTCTGTAAAATGTAATCCGGGAGGAAGATTTTTTCAGGTTTATATGTCTTGCTGGCTGTCATATTTGTCCACTCTTTATCTTTTTCCTTTTCTACTGTGGAAAATATTTATTAGTCTGTACAGGGTGGGTTTGGTAAGCTATTGGTTGCTTGTTATATTATACATTATACTATCAAGATTTTCATTACAGTAGTATTTTCCTTCACACATCAAAATCTAAGTCTTTCTCAAATAGTATAGTCATTTAGAGTTTTTACCCTCCTATTCCTCAAAATATAAAAATAGGGCTTCTAAATATTTACTAGTCATTTACAGAGGTCAAGAGATATATTCATAAACATTATGCAAATTACAATTACCACAACTGGATAGACACTACCAATATTAACCAAAAAAAGCATTAATTTTGATAGTTGTAAGAGTAATGATGAGTTATAACACATACTTTTCACGTCCTTCCAAAACCAAATGGGAGAAAACCCTAACCATCCTTCTGCCAACTATAAAATGCCTGAAAAAGATGTGCAGAAGGGTCATAAACCAATGTACACAACACAGAATTAAAACCTTAGTTATTCTATTCATTCATTTGTTGATGGATGCTTGGGTTGCTAGGAATACCACAAAACACTGGCAAATAAGGAACTCGTAAAATATTACATGACATGAGTGGCTCTGGAGGACATTATGCTGAGTGAAATATCTCAGTCAGAAAAGGTCAAACAAAATAGTACTGAAATGGGGATTGGGGGGGGGTGGGAATCAACATAGAGAGAGATAAATTGGCCCAGTAGACAGAAAGCGATGCTACCAAGCCAAATGTGGTGGCTTTTAATCCGCAGCCCTTGGGCAGTCTTTCATTGTTTTTTTCCCAAACATTCCTCTAGCTCATACAGCCTTGGTGTACAAGTTGTACAGCAGTCACTTGTGGTTGCCATGAGGCTGAACACTGTGGCACTGATATGTCAAATGTGTTAATGGTTGGTGAGGACAGTGTAGGGTGGAGCTCCCGGATTAAAACAAGCTTGGAAGCAGGAGTGGCATCCACTCCCGTAATATCTTGTCTCCAGAAACCCTATAAGCCTGGGAGAGGATGATAGACACTCAAGCGTTGAGGACTCTCCTTCATAGGGTCGCTATGAGTCGCCTGTGACTCAACGGTGCTTAACAACAACAACAAAGAGGTAATAAATCATGAACACTGCAATGGAACAGATGAAAGAAAGAACAGTTTAAAAGAAATATATGATGAGGCATTATGTGTATGACAACAGTCCAGAATAAGAAGTGCATGTCAAAGTGAACTGGGGAAATGGTGGTGGTGGTGGGAAATTATGTAACAATGAATGAATCTTTTTAAAGACATAAAAGCACACTGGGGGGTAGGGAGAAAATGTAAAAACCCTAGTTATTATACAACTGAGTTTCTGAGTTATGTGAAGTAAAAAGACCAAACTTCTTTAACATATCATTGCTAACTTAGAAGCATCATTAGAACAAATAGATTTAATTATTAATTGGCTAGGTCTTTCTGTAATTAGACTCTTACTACTAAAACAGAACCTGTTAGCAAACACCCTAGAAAAGCTGTGGAATCATGTTCTTTGCTATTTGTCAATGACAATTTACCAGTTTTCATGATATAAGTATAGTCTCTAGTGTTTCCAAGAGTTCTAGATACCAAAAAATTCAATAGTTAATAGGAGTATTTTAAGCAAAAAGGAGATCAAGAGCAGACCTTGTAACAATATATACTAAGTAGATGTATTTTTTTAATTACATGATAAATGGATTGTTTGTTGTTATTGATTGCATTCGAATCAAGCACGATTCATAGCGACACTATGAACAAAAGGTCTGAAGCCCCTCTATCGACATTTATCAAAGTTCAGAGAATTTCCAGAGGCATGTTATTTAGGAAATGGATGCCACTCCAGCTTCCACGATAAATGTAAATAATAAAATCAAATATGTTTATAAAGATGCATCTATTTTATGTTACATAAAAAAATGATAGACTGAAAACTGCAAGCTTGCCTGGGAAAGCCAGTGAGTGGGAATTCCTGCAAATATTTACTGTCGTGATATAAAACAAATGTGCACAAACTACAAAGCCCCTAAAATAGCAGTTAAAGAGTTTATATACAGAAAGATGTCACTATCAGAGTAAATATGCAAGAGATGGCATTTCCCAGAGTTTGTAAAACAGAATGTAACCACCACATGCCCCTCCTCTATGACCTTCTTCTCTGTATGACAGTTTTACTCCTTCATTCTGGTTCTTACTTTCCCACAGTTCAGGAGTCTGAATATTCTTTTCAGCTAGTGCTTCAAAGGCACATTGTACACCAACACAGGTTTCTGCACTCACCTCAGTAAATAAAATAGAAAGCTTCCATGCAAATTTAGCCCATCTTTTCTATCAACTTCATGGTTTTTCTTATCCATTTTACTTATTTTTTAATAAATCTTTTAATTATTGATTTCAATGAAAATTTACAGAGACTTTGGATTTCCATTCATTGTTGCATCAATTTTATTTCTAACTAACATGTTTACTATTTCATTTTTCTTTTAGTATGTTTCTAATTAATTTAATGAATTATCAAATTTACGAATTTCTCCCTTTTAGTGACATCATAAACTAATATAAAGCCCTGTCCACCTGTCTAATAACTAGGAGTTAATAATGCTGAACCTCTCCTGACCAGCAGTGTCCCATAATGCAAGTTCAGCATTTTTCCTACTCTCTGAAATTGTTTTCACCTTAAAGTCAACACCTGTTATTGCTGCAAGTTCTAGATCAAAAGTATCATCTGTGAAGCTCAAGAACAATCTGGACTTGCCCACCTCACTCTCACCGATTACAAGGATCTTAAGTGTGGTCAGCATGTCATCGTCCATCCTGCCCCAGCTCAGCTTCTATCCAGTTAGTCACATGAGTCCTCCTTTAAACTATCTTTGTAAAATTTGTTTAATTTTTTTTAATAACCAGGTGTCATTTTTGGGTGGTGAAAGCCAATGGGAATGCTTGATTATGGAGGAATGTGGAATGATGGAGCTCATGGAGTTTGAACCATGCTTTGGTTCTTAAATTTGATTGGACCCAAGGCCTTGTTTTAATTGGTTTTGACAAACATTCTTCTAAGTGGTACAGCAGTGTTCTATCTATTTGCTGTACAGAGGTAGCTTGTGTATGCTGTGGTGCTGAACACTGTGACCCTGATGTGTCAAATGTGATAATGGTTACCTATAGTAGACAGTGTTTGGTGGAGTTCCTTTACTAAAACAAGCTTAGAAGCAAGAGTAGCATCCAGTTCTGAAATAGCTTGCATCGGGAAACCCTATAAACTTGGAGAAATGATGAAAATTATACAAGTGTTCAGGTCTTTCTTTCATTCGTAAGGTTGATATGAGTCATCTACAACTCGATGGCACTTAACAACAAAAACAAGTAGTTATTAAGTTTTCCCCCCATACAGCAGTATAAAAGTTTTTTAAGTACTTTGAAATTTAAATAAATAATACAATGTAAGCTAAGAATAATAGGAGTAATGGGGAATTCATAGACGGCCTCTGTGGCTATTATTATTAGTGGAGCCGTCTAGTGGCAAGGAATCATGCCGCCAATGTAAGGATATGTCATTCAGATCCACCAGCTGCTACATTGGAGAGAGATGGGTAATCTCATCTTGTGCGACTAACTGCCTGTGAAAATCCATTGGAAGTTCAGCCTTGGGTCAGTTTCTATTCTACAGTACACCACTATCAAAACAATAACTAGTGGTGTATTGCATAACATATCTCGCTGATAGGCAAAGGAGAAACATTGACAGTTTCAGAGGAGGAAAAGTTGCGATGAGTTGGTAATAATTGTAAGGCAAGGGGATCGATTTGTTGTAGTTTGGATTAACAATCAATGTCCATGAAAGCTGTAGTCTAGAAAACAAACAGTACTTATAGTGGCACATTTGTTTCAAAGGGCCTCTTTAAAACATTAAAATGTGAAGATTCTGCTTTGATCACTAAATTGCATACTAACCAACCGAAGGTATTTTTAATTATTTCCTATATGCATAAAGGTTTGACAATGAACTAGAAAGATCAAAGAAGAATTGATACATTCATGTTGTAGCATTGGCAAAAAATACTGACAACACTGTGGATTGTTAGAAGAAAATAGTGACCATCTTGGAGGTAGTACAGTTGATCTTTTTCCATAACTATATGTTCCACAACCTGGATTTAGACAAAAGTATTCAGAAAAAGCTAAACCCGAACTTAAGTGATTAAATGAACAAAACAATCTCTTAAGGACTATGACAGGGTGTAAAGTTTTTTCATAGAATATTTACATTGTTTTTAAATGACAAGTAATTTAGGAATGATTTTAATTATATGGGGCAATATACATAGATTATATGTAAGTGATACAGGATAAGGGAATTGAGTATCCTCAGACTTTGCTATCCTTTGGGTACTTGAACAAATCCCCTGTGAGTAATGATTGACTATACAATTGGAATGTTCCTTAGAAGCAAAGATGTCAAAACTTTATCTCTCTTACTTTGGACATGTTGTTATTGTTGTTGCATACCTTTGAGATTGAAAGTTCAAGACGAATGCAATTCATCTTCCGATTTACTGAATACTGATCCCAAGAGTACTGATTGTGGAACCGAGCAAGCTAAAATAGTTTACAATTTCCATCTGTTCTCCAGTTATCATGGTGCTTTCAATTGGTCCAGAAGTGGGAATCTTTATCTTCTTGATACTGAGTTTCAATCTATATTGAAGACTACAGTCTTTGACATTCTGCAGCAAATGCTCCAGGTCACCCATAGTTCAGCAAGTAAAGTTGTGTCATCTGTGTAATTCAGCTTGTTGATGAATTATTCTCCAATCATGATGTCACATTACTCCTCATATAGTCTACCCTTAACACGCTTCTTTTCTGATCTTGAGCCATGCAGTGTTTCCCTATTTTGTTATGATTCTTTTTCCTGGTACAAGTAGAAATTTCTCAAAAGCACAATCAAGTGTTCTGGGATTCCCATTCCTCCCAAGTATAGCACAATTATTTGTGATCCACACAGTCAAATGCCTTTGCATAGTCAATGAAACAGAGAAATTTCTTTAATACTTTCTATTTTCAGCCAAGATCCATCTAACATTGACAATATTGTCTCTAGTGCCACAGCCTTTTTGAAGTTCGACTTTTATTTCTGGTACGTCTCTGTTAATGTAGTATTCCAGCTGTTTTTTAATAATCTTCAGCAAGATTTAGTTTGTGTGTGATATTGTTCAAAGATTTCCATAATCTGTTGGGTCACCTTTTTTTTGAATGGGAGTAAAAGTGGATCTCTTCCAGTCAGTTGGCCAAGTAGTCATCCCTCAGATTTCTTGGCACAATTTGATGAGCTCATCCAGGACAATATCTGTTTGTTGAAATATGTCAATTGGTATTCCACTAATTCATGGGGCTTTGTTTTTTTGCCAATTCCTTCAGAGCAGCTCCAACTTCCTTTTGCCTCTATAAATACTAGAGAATAATTTGATATCTACAGATACAACTCAGCTCCTAGAATTCCAACAAGAAAAATTTCCCTTTTATTTTAATATCTAAAACACATTTCCCCCCGTGCTATTTTGTATTTATGTCTTACTTTACCTCTCATATCATAAATTGCTTGAGGCAGGCTTCTGTAACTCTCGAAATGCCAACATCTTCTATCTTTCCCTACAAAAAAAAAGAACATTTCCCATCTCACAGATCACATTTCTATTAATGTTGCTCTTAGCTGTCACTGATTCAACTACAACTCAAAGTGACCCTATGAAGATCACATCTAAACCATGTCTTATCAGTCATCCTCAAGATCACTAATGCGTTTGATATCATTGCTATACAGTCACCGTGTCAGTCCATCTTGTTGAGGAGTAAGACATTAATACTTTTTTTAAAAAATAAATCACAAAAGAACTCTTTAATTAACAGGTAAACGGTGGGTAATCTCCTCCCTTGTAATTTACTGCCTCTCGAAACCCGAAGAGGGTCAGCTAAGGATCATTTCCTACTCAAAAGCACACTATCACCACCTCAAAATCAACAATTTTACAAAACCCAATAACAAATCTCTAATTAAAAATGACAACTTTATTTATCCTGTCATTCTGTCAGGTATCAAAAACAGGACTAAAGAAATAGCCACGGTCTCTTTGGTGTACAGATAAAAATTTGACTGCATACTCTCCCAAGGGCCATTCATTCCAGTGTGGCTATTGACAGGTCAGAGCTTTTCAAGAAATAAAGTACGTGCACAGTGTCTTCTCTCTCTGCTACCTAAGGCATTCAAGGTTCTTAACAGAAGAGACCCTCTTCTGATCAAATATCTGCTAGGCTTTTCTCCCTCCTCCTTCTATCCATCTGTTCTGGTTAGCTTTAGAAATAGGATTCAATATTCTTCCCTCTATTCCCTACCCACACTCTTTATGATCAAATTAACAGTTTGATTTTTTTTATTGTTGATTTTTGGTTTGGGGAGGTTTTTGGAGATTTTCTATTAAAATTTGAGGGATTATAAAAATTAAAAGAGACCAGTTAAAATAATTAGTAGACATTCACAGAAAAATCCAAATAGCTCTTCAGTATTTTAAAAGATGTTAATTTATGTTTACATTAAGATGACTATGTCATGTTGTTATATGCCAACAAGTCAACTATGCCTCATAGTGACCCAGTGCATAATAGCTCTGAACCCTGCTCTATCTTGAGCCAATATCACTGTCTCTGGCTCACCTACCCCCAATGTTCCAGTTACTGTGTTAATCCATCTCATCCAGGGTCTTCTCTTGTGCTGTTCCTTCACTCTTCTAAGCATGATGTCCTTCTCTAAGAACTTTCCTGGCAACATGCCCAAAGTATGTAAGATGGAGCTCCAAAATCCTTGCCTCCAAAGAGTAACTTGGTTTCACACTCTCCAAGACAGACCTGTTTGTTATCTTGGCATTCCACTATATGTTCGATACACTTTTCCAGCACCATAGCTCAAAGGCATCTATTCTCCTTTGTTATCTTCAGTCTTTGTCCATCTCTGTGATGAATTTCGGGGTGGGGGGGTTGGAAGAAGCTGAGATCATGGCCTGGTGTCTGGAAAAGACAATTAAAAAAGCTCATTGAATGGTAAAAAGAAAGAAAAAAAAAGATCTTGGCCTGGATCAGGCACACCTTACTCTTTAGCTAGACATTGTTGTTCTTCAGTAGTGTGGAGATATCTCTGACAGCAGACTTGCCTAATTCAATTCATCGTTTGATTTCCTGACTTATATTCAATTGAAAATATTTAAAAGTTTAAAAAAAAAACAAACCAATAACACACTGTCGCTGTCAGTTCACCAGCAACTTGATAGCAACACCCTGATGGGCGTAAGCACGACTGAGATACACCACTCTAGGAGAGGATCAGAGAGTCAATCCAGCTCAATTTTACTGGGACTGCACTAACTTATATACACAGGAAGACCAGATAGGGTGGACTTATAGACATGGGACATGTGCATTGGTCAGGAGAACCTCAGCCTCATGTAGACCATTCTCCACTCAACAGAGGTGGCCGCTGTCTTCCCAGGTGGCGAGCTTTCTCAAGCTGGTACAGCCAAACACAGGGAAGCTTTCTCTACCCCATATTAAAGGCCACTGGGAGGCTTGCACTTACCCGGAGCTTAGGCGCTCTGTCCTTGCCAGAGGTCCTTCCCTCCTCCCCAACATTCTGCAACAACACACTAGTTAGAGGAAGCATAGAGAACAGATATTGTGAGTAGCAGTGTAACTTGTCATAGACCTCAGTGAAAGATAAGTTGACAATTCCTATAAAAAGAGTATGCATATATTTTTTCCACATACA